CCCCCCCCTTACCTGTCCAACCCCTATACACACTCTTGGCTATTGTTACCTAACACATCCCCCCAGAAGTCTGTAAAGAATTCCTGAGATTCCGATCAAAAAATGACCAACACAAAGGGGGGGGGTTCTCTCTGTCCCATATTTTGCTTCAAATGTTTGTATCGACAGCCACCTATAGTTTTAGCAACCGATTGTAGGCAAAACACGAGTGTCACATTAAAAGAGTAGATCCCATTCCAAGCTGTCATTGGATTCCGGTCGCCAGTGCAGTAAATACGGCAATGTTTCATTTTCTGGCTGGCTGTCATTCAAAGAATTCTATTTAGGCATACCAAAGATGCTTCACCGCCATGTCTAGCTCTAGACACCTGGGTTAACAGTATTCAGACAATGGAAATAAGGAAAGCCTACATTCACGTTCAAACATCCATAGAACATCAGTTGCGGTGTTCTATTCAGAATTCTCTCCACTGAAATTCAGTAGTACATTGTTTTGGGGTAATATTGCTTAACAAACCAAGTAAGCATATAAATAGAAATACCCGGCGGCGACGGATCACCGAAGATAGACCCGAACCCAAATTTGGGCGGGGGGCACATTTTGGGAGGGGCAAGAAATTTTTGAAACTTTTAATGTAACCTTGAGGGCTTTTTCACACGCTTTTGGAGAAGAGTCAAATAAAATAGTCTCTACAAAAATCGCCTTTCTCTTAATATGTAGTGAAAGAATGCCCTCTTTCAGGGAAGGGCACTGGCCCCCGGATTCGCCCTTGTTTTTGGCGAACAAAATCAGACTCTTGATGTTTCTTCTCTTCATGAAATTTCTCAAACGTCCTTGTTATATACATACATGCAGTGAACTGCCGTAGGTCCCTTGTCGTCGTGCTGCTTTTGCGTGAGCTCGACCAGGCTGAGCAGTCCTTTCACAGACCTCGGCACGTCCTCATTAGACGGCCAGTCATGGTATTGGAATTGAGTGATTCTTCGCACGTCCTCAGACTGAAAGAGATGTAAAATTTTTTTCCTAAAAACTTTCCATCATAATTAATCAAGGTTTGAATAGCATACAAATGGTAGCATGAATTCTCCAATTAGTGTGTGGAACCGTAGCAGTAAACACGTTTTCAATATTTGATTTAACGGAGTGTCAACTAGGCACCGTGTGGAATTTCAATTGTTGGCAATCACACCAATGGAGCCAACAAGTATTCAACTCTGGTGCGCGTACAGGATAAGCAAATGGTTCGAGCATGAGAAGATGTTCATGTCTGCCCATGTTACAGAGATATCATGCATGAGAACCGGTGCAATATTAAAAGAGTTGCTATATAAGTGGTTTCCGACAGCTTGAGAGAAATTAAGGATTACGAGATTGCTCAGACGAGAATCTACAATATCCTGCTCGATGTTCCCTTACAGTTTGAAATTAAAATTGAAAGTTTATTTACCAGTACTTTGGTCTTCGTGTTCCTCAGGGTGAAGTTACGCTCAGTTATCCCACTGTACTCTTTGATTCCGATCAACTCGACGAGGAGTGGTCCAAAGTCGATGGTTCCTTGTTCGGGCCAGTAACGACACATGGTCTTATTGAGAGTGAAAAGAACAAAAGCATTAATCAAATACCTCACTGCAAGAGTCTTCCACCAAATTCTTTTACACATTACGAATGATGCGTTGAGGTATACTGTCAGCGGGTCCTTAGAAAAAAATTCCCTTTTCTTTGCACGAACTTGTTTAATTTGTTTGTTATTTTTTATCGGATACCCGCATTTGATAAATAGATATGCTGGTGCGCCCTCTAGGGATACATTTTGGCGAATAAATTCCTGCATGCAGATAAGTTGCATGCAAATTCCTGTCCATTGCATTGTTCCCAGGCATCTGTTCTATGGAGAGTCTTACGCATCACTGGTCATGGACTCGGTTGGTATGCAAGGCACATGAATTCTGTGACTCCAGTCTTAGTCTTACCCATATCAACTTGTTTTTTTTTCTGAGTTGGCTCAGTGGAGATCCCTGTGTGTACTTGAGCGGATTCTGGAGTGCTGGAAATCGGGAAAGCCGTAGATGGTTGTGTGGTATGTAAATCGATCCTATTTTATACCGTTACTTTGGCTGTCAGAATCGCCTCACGCTATTTACTCTATCAAGGCAGTTGACTAAATCTTTCCTTGGACAGGAACACGCAGGCAATAACTGCCTTGCTGCGCCATGTTTTGTGGCATTTTCAGTGCGCGAGAGTGCAAGTTGTGGTTTGCTGTAAACCACTGTGTCTGAACTAAAGTTGCTGACGAACTGAATTATATTGGTAATTTAATCATGACGATGAAAGATTACGCTTGCGAAGACTCAGGGTAACTTGACAGGAGCTTTTTCTTTTCGTTTTCTTCTCCCTTTGGACATGTTGGGAGTTTACCCGATAATAATTTGGGGTATTTGTTTTTTTCAGGCAGTTTGGGTATTAAGGGAATGAAATTGATAAATCTGTATCGCGCATAAACTCTTCCCTCAAGTCATTTAATTTCCGAAGCAAGAGCTCCTTGGTGGCAGAAGAAATCTTGTGTACGGTAAGTAGTCGGCTTGCTAGAATACAAAGGTATGGTGAAAAGGCCATTGGCGCAATAGACAATTGTAATACATGTAGTTTAAATCAGTCATCGTACCTTGTCGTTGGCATCAAATGTGTTCAACATGACTATGGTGGGCACTTTGTGGTCATAAACCATGCGCCAAAAGTCGGAGACGGTGTTGGGCATTGGCATCTGTGTCCCGATATACATGTTCTTCTTCCGGTAGCCCTTACGAAAGTAGAATAAAATATGGCAAATGATTTAAAAGACGTGTGCTACCTGCTTGTTGTAAAGCGTGCAGCCTTCTATGAGTTTTGCTTTCATCGACGTTTGGCAACAATGCCTATCTGCACAATTTTATACATAGTTCGAGCGCGCAAACATGCAAGTGTTTGATCCTGTTTGTCACGGATTTCAACTCAACTTAAGTCTCTATTTCGGCAAATTTTCTATATACAGGGTATTAAAATCAAATTGCAATAAAAGGGGAAAATATAGAACAGATAGCCTGATAATTACGGAAGAATTTTGCAGAATCTTTATTAGGCTGTACACTACTCAGCAAAACTCCTCCACGTTTGGTCCTTATTATTTTTGTCATAAACTTTTCTGCATGAGCCGATCATTGAGAACCTTGTACGTTTATGTAGCGGTCACTTACTGGCATGAAGGTGGCATTGATGTAGTCGGAATCCTTATCATACGCTTTTGTGAACAAAAAAGGCCTAGAGCGGTCACCTGTGAAGAAATTGAACAGGTTGACGAGAAAATGATTTACACGACTTACTAAGAAATATGCTACTACTTATTTGCAGTTAGCATCCATACTGGTGAATGAAGTAATTCTGATGTCAACGATTTCGACTGACCTACTGTTGAAGATTTGTAATGTTCATCCCTACGATGTGCTTATAGTTTTAACCACTTCAAGCCAACATGGCGCAAGTCCAGATCAAACAAAATGTACAAAACATAGAGAGAGAGAAAACAAGGAACAAAAACACAAAACAAAAACAAAACAAAAAACAAAAAAACAATCCCCCAAAAGAAAACAGAAAAATGGTCCGTGGCGTGGCCAAGGGGTGGTGTGGGGGAGGAGGAAACTTCCCCCTGTGGGAACTCTTGCCCCAACCCGAGGAGCCTGGCTACCCCACTGAGAACGACCCATGGGAAAGAGAAATTCCTGACTCACTTGGAACGAAATCCGGATATCGGTTTTTGTCCTTGTTCTCGGGGAACTCTCCAGACTTAACGGCCTTTTTACCATGACTCGCGGTCAGCACAGTCAGGTTCTGAACAAAATGGAGAACGAGGTAATTTTCGAATCTGCGCAGTGAAACTAAATTCATAATTCACATAGTAAAACTTAGTTACGTTCGTAAATATTGTTTTGCACGAAAAAAGTTATTTCTCGTCTTCTTACCTTTAGCCAGATGTTACGAAATTTTGGTTTGTCATCACATTAGTGATCAAGCACATCATCACACTTGTGGACTCCAACTATCGTGGCTTTCTCGTGTAAATCTAGTGGAAGCCCACTTCTAAAGAAAACCTAGAATAAGGCCCACATAACGTGCCCTTGATTCTTGGCTCTGAATATGCACGTAACTTGTAGACTTACCGCAAACTGCAGCTGTAAGCCTGTTTCCTTGGCACCCTTCTGAACCTTCTTCAGACCCGCCAACTTTTTGCGGAAACCCTCAGTTGTGTAGGTCGTGTCACCAGTCACACTGGCCGCCAGAAGAGCGTCGAAGATGAACTTGTATTGGTCCTTGAAAATGAAGAAGTTTAAAAAAATGCGCGCTTCGTTTCGAATCGAGGCCACAAATTTCTTTGAACATTTGGGTTTTTTTATCCCAAAGGTTTTGTTCACACAGTATCTGCGCAATTTATTTTCTGCAACATGCATCTTCAACAACACTCAAGTAACTTACCGGCGTCTGCACCATCTTGATACGGTTCTGTCGCATTTGGTAGACGAAACCAAAAACGTCCACTTGTTCCTCCTTCTGCATTTGCTTCAGCATCACATCCAGTGCGATGAATGTCCCCGTGCGCCCAACCCCAGCGCTGTGGTAACAAAGTAAAATAAATCCCCGACTGGTTATGAATGTCTGCAAATAAAAGGGGTGAGGCAGTTGTAGTAAAACCATGCATGGCGCAAAGTGCCGTAGTTATACCAGTTAACAGTGGGACACTGGAATATGTTTATCCCACATGAAGTATCGAAGTAATGCCGTGATATTTCCAACTTGTGTGAAGCAGTGATGAGCACATGTAAGATCCATTAGCGTTTAACGGCGCTCCCTCCAAAACATCTTAATTAAAAATATAACCTGTGTTTTCAATACACCTGACGATTCAGTGGTGACCCCTTGTGATCGAAATGTGAACTGTTCTAGGGCCCCCACCTGCAGTGCACCATTGTGCGTCCAGTGTTGTGGTGTGCATTCACCAAGCGCAAGAAGTTGAGCACGGGAGCTGGGTACTCTGGCGGCTTCATATCCGGCCAGGTGGTATAGTGAAACTGCTTCACAGATCTACTGCCGTCCTCACTGCCGACCTGATTTACAGATAAAGAAAGCGGACTGCAATTTTTCTCGATGCATACACAAAATGTTCAGGACTAGTGCCTCCTTCCATAACATAACATGCATAATGCGTCATCCATTTCATCGCATTCTATTCCTATGATGCAACAATCTACAAATCTAAGTATCTGATATTAAGTGACTCATTTCACCGGTTTTATGTCCTCGACACTTCATGAAAAATCCTTTCTTTTGAGGCGTTTTTGTTCATATTTTGATGTTACAGATGCATTGTTTAGGTAGTTAAGCAATCACAAATAATACCTCGTGTATGCAGAAATTACGAATGGTGTAATCTAGAAAAACATCCTCTTTGTCTGTCGTCACCACGATGTCTGAGATCGTTGTGGATCCGGTATCAGCCCAGTACTGAAGACACTTCACCTATTTTCAATACAAAAGCCATTCGCATTTGGTCAAATGCTACCAAATCACCAAACAGCAATTTAATTACCAGGGTAAAAAAAGTGTTAGATTTCTTGTAGGTTTAAGACATTACGTCATCCGAATATCAAACTTACAACAATATTGGAATTCACTGACACCTTGGGCTCTAACATGACGTGCGTGCGGGTAATGTTATAAAGTTTACCGCACTGAGGATGCGGTGGCCCGATGCCCCGGTCAAATCGGAAGGGTTTGGAGAGGGCTGAGGGCTCTTCACTTATGAACCGTGAAGTACACGGTCTCATTTTGATCAGTATTACACGGTCGATCAGGGTGGGACGGATTGAAACACTCCACACCATTGAAACACGTCAGGTACCTTGCCATTTTCCACTGGGTTGGTGAGCATCACAATCTTATCGATGCCCAGCTGCCACACCATTCTCCATATGTCTTTGATGGATGCCTTGTTGGGTCCTGTAAAAGAGTAAGATTTATCTTAGACGATAACGGATAGAGTGCACAGTGCTACCGTCACGTCATTGCATTTTGTACATGCAAAGTTTTAAAGCGCAGGTGGCGCATAGACTTAAACACACTGACAATTTGACTTGTGTTTACCTTGGCTGGCGATGTATTTGCCCTTCGACTTGTACCCCTGAAAGACAAAACCATATGTGAGATAAGTGTAAAATAAATAGCATTTTGTCAAAATTTTTGTCCGGTTTGTTTGTTTTTTTGTCCAGTAGGTGATTTAGCCGTACACACGCATGCGCACCACTAATTACAAGCTCCCATTAACTGAACACTCAACTTGGGCGTTAATTTCCGGTCCGTTTAAATTATGTGTAGTGAGCACTTGCAAGAAGGACTTACATTGATGTAACAAGCGTTGACATAATCCGAGTGAGGATCCCCCTCTATGGGTTCCAGCACAACTCGAGAGTGATCGTCTGTATATAAATACATGTAACATGAAATGGAAATTCGTTAAAAATTGTGAAAAAATTAAAACATAATCCGTAACCTTTCTGTTGGTACATACTTCTAACAATATGGTGAGAAATAATAACTAAGTTATATTTACTCCCACTTTATCAGAAAACAATGTGACCGGAAATATCTTCATAAACACATACATGCAATAACATTGACGTAACGGTTCTTGGCCTTGTTTTCTGGTTTTGATGCTACTGTCCATGGATGCAATTGCCCATCAGGTAGCGACTGTGACAGAAAGAAAACAACACAAACCTTAAAAACAAAGTATAAGTTTTTTCCTGGGACGGGAAACAGCCACATTTCCGTAAAAGGTTTATTATGAATATCATTACTGAGAGAGTGACTTTGCACATATTGCGTTGTAATAAAGAATAGAATTGTAGAGCATTTACAACTCGGTGCTATCTAGACTAAGAGGGCTAAGTTTACATACGACCGAAGCTGTCTCGGAATGCTGCATTTAATTTGCATTTATAGTTAATATCTGAATGAGGAGGCTTACCTTGTAGTCTGCCAGGAATCCATTATCACCTGAAAGTTCCTTGTTGCGGATGTATTCCGCGAGGTCTTCTCTACGAATGGGAGGTGGCTGTACGAATTCCACTGCTTCCTTGTCCTCCGCTGCTGGTTTAGTTTCGGATTTGTTCTGACGTTGTTTTGGCAAGGGTCTTCGCTGCTTTTGACTGGGTTGGTCAGAGACTGCTGCGCCATCGTTGGTGTAGTGATGAACAGCAGAATCCTGTGACTCTTCTACTAAGCAACATAATTGTTCTCAAATGATAATTTATCATCGTAAATCATTAGAAGAACTGTTAGTATAAATTTTAAAAGGAAACCAATCATCGGGATCGTTCCGTTAACTGAAAATTGTATGTCCACATGTAAAATCTTATGAAAAATTTGTTGACAGGCTTACACAAAAAGGTTTCAAAGTCGTTTCCTTCTGATTCTTTCAATCCCAAAGATTCCAAGAGAGAAAATACTTCAGTACCCATTGTGACTAAAATGCTACCGGTACCTGCCCATTTCGAGTGACAAGGTTAATTGTGAATTGTAGTGGCTCTGCCAGTTATGCATGTAATTAGGTATAAAAAAACCACTTTAAGTCCTATTAAAGAAACGAAAAAAGAGAAACGAATAGAAAAAAACCCAGCCCAATCATTTTGCTTCACAAAAATTAAAGAAATAACCGATTAAAATGTGTAGATAAAATAGAAATACCAGAATCCACTGCTAGAGACTTCTCGTTAAGTGGGAAATCAGAACCCATATCGCTCTGGTGCATTCCATGGCTCGCTCTACGCCTGTTGCAGAAAAGCAAAGGTCATATGGGAATCATTTACTGCACGCAGTGATACAGTTTCAGGCTAAGGTTAATTTACAACCACTGCAAAGTGTAGGTATCAAAAACCGTCTGGAGAATTTCCCTAGGACGAAAGTTTTGATGGGTTTTTACCGTTTCAGAGCAGAATAACTAACCGTTAAAGGTTCTAATTTGAAAATAAAGCATGCCGAAGAACATTCTTTAAATAATCTAATTAAATTGTTTAGCTCTAGGTACATGCATTTCAAGTCAAAGTATTTTTGGTCATACCTTTTGTAGACAACGAGAGCAACAACGACACCAACAATGATGATGACAATGACAACGACGATTGCTGCTATCACTGCAGGCGACATTCCAGGCGACATTCCAGGCTTCTTTACTGTGACAAAAGGATCATCAAGCAAAAGGTAGGCTAATTTGAAAATACTACTTTTGATCACCTGAGCCCTTCAGATACTGTTCGTGAACATTGTCTCAAAGGCTTTTGAGTAGTCAACCTGGCCGTGTTAACCCGCGATTAAACGTGAGGACAACTGGAAGAACGATCAATAGCTACTGGCTTCCTGTAGCACGTGTAGTTGAATCGTACCCTTAAGTATGTTGAACTTAAGTACGGTACGGTGACCCCAAGCAGTCGACTGTACTTCTGCAACCATTTTTGAGCAGTGTGCGTTTAATCGCTGTTAGCTATTAAAACAACACTTAACCAAACTTTAGGCATTATTTCTGATTCAGCTACAAATCCAGGAATCAAATTGTTATTACCTGTCACTCTTAAGGGCGTTGAGTACGTCACATACGCTTCCTATAAGCAAATAAGCCAAATAAGACATTTACTAGTATTGATGCTCGAAAGTTCCAACGGTATATTTTCTTAAAACATGATCTCATATAAGTAAAATAGCTTACCGTTTCATTGCCTTGACTGACCGATCCAGTGCGGATCTCGTATTCGGCTCCTGTTTCGAGCGGTGCGTTGTAATAAACGCCGTACAATTTCGTGTCCCCGACGACGAATTTGTTCGGAGCATTCCGACTAGGTAACTCAGCTGCTAGGTAGTCAGCAGGAGAGTCCTCGAAACGGTCTGGAATCAGAATATCCCTTTTGGACACCGACGATCCGCTTACTGTTTTGACCCTGACAACATATGACCTGAAGAAAGAGCAATTGAATAAGACAACAAAATATTCGAACAAGTTAATCGTCATCAACAGCAAGCACCAGAACAGTCGGCTCAACACGTCCTGACAGAGTGCCCTGAACTTCGACCTCCCGAAGACCTGGACCTCAGTGAACCCAATCCTGCCACCACGACGTGGTTAGAGGCCCTTTCAAACACAACCTAACTGCTGCCGCTTCATACGAAAGAGGAGATGTGGGGACTACCTAAATAACATGCACGTACTTTCTCCATACAGATATCAACACGACAAAGCAACATCCTTTGGCCTTACTGGTTGAGCGTATTACCCAAATCTCTTTTGTCTGCAGTGAAATAATACAGTTGGGCTTCATGTTTCAGTGACAAAAAGAAACCGAAGCAATTTAAACAATCACATTTCTTGTAGTAAAATTCTCTTAGGTTCTGTCTTCATAACTGCGACCAAAACACTTTATCATAGCAGCATGCAAGATCATTATTGAAGTTTATCCGAGAATGTCGTTATTTAATGTGGCTTCGACGGTTTTTACTGATGGATCGTCCTCAGGGTTTGTGTCAGTCATTAATTATGCACTTGAAAACGCTGCATTAGCACTGATTAAAGAAAATTAACTTACTCCACAAACTGTGCCCCATCTGCGGGTTTGGAAAGCCCAATCGTCACAGTGGTTTCCGTGGTCTCGTTACCATAGAACAAGGGCTGCGGGGGTTCAGGGGGATCTAACAAAATAGTAAAAGGGAATTATAAACTTATATAGAAATTGGAATATACTGGACTGCTGGGTTACGGTAATTATATACCGGTAACAGCTAATGAGAATTATGACTTGGGATGAGGTTAGCTTCCTTTGGAAAAGAATGCATATTCTATCAACGTATAGATTCATGAAGGATGCATGGTTCAGTAACCAGTTTCATTCTTTTTTGACAACAATTGATGCTTATTAGCTGTGCAGTCATATGATTCTGAGGTGTGGTACCCAAGACCCATTTACAAGATAAAGTTAACGAGGTTACAGGGTTTCAAACTCCCTGATTTCTCTGGTTCAAATGTCAGCTGCTTTGAATCATGGCAGCAAATCAGTTAAAATCTATTCAAGAGTAGACCTGGCGGGTCCAAAAATACTGTATCTAACTTGTCTGTGGTTTTGTGAACACCACCAGGGACGCAGAGTCTCCCTCGAACTTCTCGTTGTGAGCAGAAACAGCTAACTCATATGCCGTTGCCGGGTTCAGCTTGTCCTTTGTGAATGGTGGCGCCGTTTCCTCGTCTTTCTCGTATTGATCCGATGAAGAAAAGACCTTGGAACTTACCTAAAGTGATAACATTCCAAGGTTAAAAAGATTGGATCTGATCAGAATACAATAAAGTTGCATGATTGAGATGACACTTTAATCTGTGGCAACCATTGGTGAGAGTTTTCAGTAGGCCTAAGGGAACAAAGAGCGTTCAATTAAATTACTAAAATCTTGAATATGTGTATCCCTTTTGCCAACTCAACTGGCTGCTCTAAAAGAATTTTCATTGGACGATCAGAAAATTAGACGATCGGAAAATGAGGCTTAATAAGCGATTATTAAAGCGGCCATTAAAGAACATACTATGTAGTGGGAAATATGTCCTTTTGGGTTTTGTGGCGGGTTCCAATCTAGAGTAATTGTCGTTTCGGTTGTATTTTTCACTCGAAGATTCTGCACAGGCCCAGGAACTGTGGGAGAAAAAGTAACAAGTGAGCATAAATCAATGATACTTTATATAGGTGGACTTGAGCCAAGACGAGCCTCGGTTTTGAATCGTTGAAAATGTGCAATGGAAAGTTGACAGTCAGAACAACACTTCGAAGTTCGAAAATATTTGCTTACAGATAACATTGGAAACGTTCGCAAACGACATGAAAAGCCAAGGGCTTTTATACTGTCACAAGTTGGAATACTCGTTCCGTCCTGGTTAAATTCAGAGTGAGAACATCAGTAAGATAAATGAAGATTCGAGAATGCTTTCCCGATGCATTGCTGCTGCTTTTATCACCTCGTTTCACAGCCCTGGCTTTGATTGATTATACTATTTTCCTTCCCAATTTCTTCTAGAGCCTCCCAATTTCGCTTTTAAGACCTTCTGCCTTTTGGATCTCCAGCTTTGTGCATTCTACCACTTTTCATCCTTTTGGCTACTGTACAGTGAGTTTGTTGGCTAAATGCTAAACAGTCGTTCAGTCTATATATTCCCTTCATATTTAAGCATTCTGCAAAACCTATTAGATATTCTTTGAAAAGCTTAACAACAATTAACGTGAAGCTATACTTTACACTGATAGTTGGCTCATCTTAATAAATTTGATCTCTTTTAGTGTGATTATGTAATGAAATGCTTTCTATGCTTGACGGAGTAGAGTGCGGAATCGGAATTGTTGAAAACTTAATAGCATTGCTTATCCTACTTCCAATCTTGGTTGTGGCGTTGACTTCCTGACTCCACGGACCCGCACCCACGGACGTCTCAGCTTGCACCTGACCAAGCACCATTTAACGAAAACAAAATTTGTCGATTAAACCGCTTTCAGAGTCTGTGTTTCTTCTTGCACTGACAAATCATCTTTTGTGCTCTTTCTCTCCTAAGAGTCAATAAGTGCTCCCGACAGGAAACATAACCACATTTGGCAGTTTTTAGATCGGTCGTTTTCCTTTCGAGTTGCAAAATGCAATTTCCAAACTTGGGAAACGTTTTTTTTTTCTGAAACTGTCGAGCTAAATACCTGAACATAGTAGGTCACATTGGTGTCAAGACTCATTATACTATACACCAATGGAGTCACATCAGTATCTGTCTTGTTTTTTGTCTCTCCATCCCTCCGGTATCGCACATTGTACTGGGTGATGATTCCTTGTGGAGGATCGGGCTCTGACCACTTGACAGTGATTGAAACGTCATCAACATTCTGAATGGCAACATTTAGAGGAACCGTTGGCTCTGTTTAAAATGAAAAACAAAAATCATCAATATTCACAGGTCACACTGAAGCAAAGCTGACGGAAAGCACATCAGAAGGTTGTAATAACCCCCGGGGTCAAGTACATTTAGTTCTTAAACTCTAATTACCCGCTTCCAGGGTTTTTCCAGTTACGACTTCGCTGTACGGCCCAGTTCCTGCACTGGTATTTGCAGCAACTTGAAAACTGTAATTTGTGAAAGGGATTAATTGAGGTATTGTCACTGATTTAAATGCTGTGTCATCCAGGATGGTTGGACCCCTTCCACTCAGCTTGTATACGTAGCCAGTGATGATACCACCTCGGCTTCCACACGGTGGCGGGCTCCAAGAGAAACTCAATTGTCGCTTGTTCCGCACAAGGAGTGTAACGTTTTCGGGTGAGGCAGACGGTTCTGAATGCAAAGGAAAACAGGAAATGCAAATTACACGTTTTGTTGAAAAAGATCCGGATTGCAAAACCTCCTTATTTACAGGCTTCATGGTTCACTTGCTCCGTTTTTTTACCTCTGGTACTTGTCGTAACATCTTTCTCTTCTGCTGATCCGTGATTTCCATCCACAAAGGCCTTGACTCGCATCCTGTACATCGAGTTAGCCATCAGATCAGATATTACCGTCACATTAGTTCCAGAGCACATGCAGTGCTGCAAGTAGTTAATTGGGCTGATGGGTTGGCATCCCTCTTTGTTAAGCAATGCATACTCCACAGAGTAATTGGCACAATTCACTTCACGCCAGGTGAGTGTTACACTGACGGAATCGTAAGAAGTTATAATCACAGGTGAAACGGACGGATCTAAAAAAGTAAACAAACAGGTGGTTTACGAATGGTCGACGTTAGGTCCTTTATTGACGCTCTTAAAATTACTTGGCTTCGCCGACTTCCGGTTTCAGAAGGTTCTGCATGGGCACACTTATGCCACAAACTTCTAGGTACTTAGCGTTTACTGTATATTGATGGTGGTTCCATCAACTTTTTGTTGTTTCGTAGTAATCAGTTTTGGGTCGATGTCATGAACTCTTGGCAGAAATCTTCTCCACGAAGTGTTTGCACTGAAATTCAGTTGAGTTGAAATGTGAAGTCTTTTGTTGTTACTTTTACAAATTCTCAGCGTGAAATTTGATCTGACATCCCAAGTTCGTGTTCTTGTATACTTTTGTACCTCCTGTAAACGGGCCTCTGGATCATTAGCATGCTCTGTGATGAGGAAAATGTCTAATGCCTGTTAAACGTGTGGGGATTATTACCTGTTGAATTTCATGTTAGAGAATACTGAGTCATCTGCAGGTGTACTTA